ACAGTCAGTTTAAATGGACCACTCTGTATGAATATATATATATATATATATATATATTATAGTATACACGCGCAAGACGCAAATAAAAATATATATTTCGGGCACGAAACGTAATCGGGAAACGTCCGCGGCGCCCGTCTACTGCAGCTACGGCCGGACCAATGATCGTCTGTTCCGTCGTGCGGGCGTCCGCGAAACCTCGAAAACAGTAGAAAAAAAATCTATAAAACCCACCTTTGACAGATGACGAATATTAAATGAATTTCGTGTTTTCGTTATATAATATAATATTATGTAGGTAGAATACCATGATAATAATATATAATAACTGGTGTTGGGAGTATTACGCTTACCGTAAAAAAAAAAACGTTCGGTAAATTGTTTTAATTAGTATGTATGATAATTTTGTTTAATACATTTATTACGAACTCAGTGATATTTTTATAATTTTTTGTATCAGTGGGTAACTGCATGGTGCACCAATGGAAAGCAATATTATGTTGCTATTATAAAATAGGTATATATTAATACAAGCATAATATTATTTTAGTATTTTTAGTTTAAGTAGCTAGATAATATTATTTGGAATGTTACAGTGTTACACGTTCTCCTGCAGTAAGTCTACTCGTGAACCTGCAAATATTTAAATAATAAAATAATCACCTCTCGATTACCCCGTTCGCCACGTCACTGATTGCGCACGTAAAAACAATTGCAATTAGGGGTTACTCGATTTTATGAACGGTACCGAGTAAAAAAAATATCGGTACAATTTACCCATCTCTAAGGTTAGATTAATAATAGTGTATAACTAAATGATTGAGATTTCATAAGAATGTGGTCGTTATATCACCGTCACTGCGGCGTCCATATAGGTCAGGGGACGCCAACCAATCGATGGCGATAGACTGGTCGATATTTAGAGAAATATTGGTCGATCTAATCAAAAATTAATTTTACCAATATCTGTTGATCACGTTCGTAATCTTATGAAGCTTAGCACTTAAATAACACACATTTACGGTATGTTATATATTTTATTAGTGAAGGAAACCATAATATACGATTTTGATGGAGAAATAACGATAAATGAACATTATCATACAATTTATTATTATGCTGCATGTTATAATATAGGTATAATGAATAGTATACCTAAACAAATAGTGGTAGATCACCAGATACTTAAACATTGTTATTGTGGTTCACGTGTTGGAAAAAGTTGGAGACCTCTGATATAAGTTACAGAACATGCCTATGGCTACGTCTCTTCAGCACGTGATCGGACTTTTTTCGTTTTCCCATTTATCGGTGGATTGTTCTTCCAGGGCGTACCTACCATATTATTCATCAATTCATTTCACACTAGAAATATTATATATTTGTGTTGTATACAATATAATATTATAATATACCGACCACATATGCATAGGTAATAAAATAATATTATACAGGATCATCGTCAAAACTCAAAATCGACTGCAGTGTCACATTACCCGATTACCGCGAGACCTCAATAACGTAAGGCGCCTATAGTGGTGTCACCAGGGTGAAACAACCCCCCTCATCATCAGCTGTATATTTCATGCCTGCATAAATATAATTTATGTATTATATATTTCAGATTTCCACAAAATATTGAGTCGGTTCTATTTCATATTTAATATATTATTAATATGGAAGACTGAAATGACTACAATGAAAATTGTGTAAACTGTAAAGCCCCTTACATATGATATTATATTCAAATTAAAAACTTAAAAAACCCCAAAAAAAGACTCATGGTTACGTGCCTAAACGTGTCTATCGGTTTCGTTACGCAAAATTAGGTCACGTCCTGCGAGGTATAGAATTATTACAAATTGTATTATCATAATACGTAGATATTGACACCGCTTTAGAAAAATAATCAAGAAAAATAAACGAATAATTTAACACACACATTTTATTAAGTATTATAATATATATTATATATATTATACATATAATATAACCCCTACTAATTAATTATCACATTTCCTTATTTTACGTACCTATATGTATACAAAAATATATATTTTAATATGAACTTTGGCGGCCTTTTCTGATATCACAGAAAATAAAACAATGCAAGTCTAGTCACGTTTCACTAGATTAGGTTGTGCATAACATTGCTGTCATTGCAACAATGTAATTTTATATTATTGTAATTTCTAATCATTCTAGGCGGTGTAAATATTAACTAATAATCATTGATCTCTCGAACAGAACTGTGTACCTATCTATTGACTATAGTCTATAGTACCTACAACTGAGTAGGTATTATTTAATTATATCAGTATACCTATCGGTTTTGACTTTTGAATACCTACTTACTTATTGAATATGATTGTACAATACTACAATGCTAATATTATTATTATATTCACATCGTTTGTATTAAAAGTAACATACCTACTCAAACCAACTGATGTGTCTTGTCGAAGCTAATTAGCTACAGTGCAGATATCGAACGAATTATATAATATGTTTTATACAGTAAACATGTATTGATCAAAATTTGAATTTAATGTCCCGATTTAAAATAGAAATTGTGTACCTAGTAATAGTTTTACAATGTTGAAAGTAATATACCATACACTTTTCATTATAAGAGATTATTTTCAGATAAAAACTGTTTAGGTACCTACCTACGATACAAATCACATTTTTGGAGTAGGTATTATATTATTTATATATTTTACATAGATAGAAATCAAAGTGCCTATAAATAAATATTTAAAATATAATATATATCCTGTTCAATGAGTTATAACTTGTGATAATACTAAAGTTTACTTTTCAAGTTTGTCTAATGCGCCATAAAAATTTGTAGCACACATCTGTATAAATTGCACACTTGTATGTAATTGTATACCGACCTACCTATTGTGATATTATACGCATGTTCTTATTGTTAAAGCTATAGAAATATAATTATTGTAGGTATAGAATTTAATATTTTATAACCACGTTTTAATTTTAATATATTATATTGTAATTTTATTATAATTTATCATTAAAATTAATCATTACAATTAATATATTATATTAGTAGTACAATAATTAAGAAACCTTACATTTATCAACTGACGATTACATTAATTTTAAATTTCTTTTTATTATCATGATATTAATTTTTAACGATCAATAATTTTGCATCACCTACTAAGAAATGATTATGATTTATGAATATAAATACAACATAATTAAAATCCAATAAAAAGGGTAATATGTAATAATATTATATTGCATTTTCCTCTTCTCTTTAAACTTTGTTCAATTGAACGCCAATGCCAAGGTCAACAAAATTTTATCACGCACATCTGCGTATGAGCATTTATGTTCTGCACCGTATGCAATTAATTTGAATTTAAGAGAAAAAGTTTCAATAATAGTCATCAATAATTTTATTAACGTTTCGCAATAAAATGTTTATAATACTTAATATAGAAATTAAATTCTATATATTACAGCAGTATAGGTACATAAACGTCATAAATACCTACATTATATTATATAGTTGCTTTTGTGTAAACAATCAATTTAAATGATTGTTCATTTAACTAAAAATCACATTTTATGGATAAATTTGTATGCCACGACAGTTTGTGTAAACTGGTAATTTTATTACCAGATAAAAAAAAGTAGCAAAAAATCATGAACGATACATCAATATAAAGTTATATTAGATCGAATATTAAAAGTTATAAATATATGATACAAAAAATACCATCTTCCATCGGAATAATAACAAAAATTAGAAACTAAAATAATTGTATATAATGTTATTATTATTTATCCATAATTCAAATGTCTATCCATTTTACTTCAAATTGTCAACATTTTATTAAATAGATATTTTTTTTAAATTTAAAATCTACTAAAAAGTTTAGTATTTGTAAAAACTTCATTAATATTAACTTTATATTTAAAACATATATGTGTATACACTATAGATTTAAGAAATACATTGAGCCACTCCTATAAGATTAGCACTATGGAATCATAATTTATAGTTATAGACGTACCTATCACGCAAATGGTATTGCAAATTAATAACTATTTCAATGCTGAAATAGATTGGAAAAAAAAATACTTAATAATATAATAGTATTATTTCAATATTTTAAAATATAATAGGTAAATAATTACTACGCAGATACTGGTTTCAAAATAAAATCCAAAAATCCAATCTAATATGTACCTATACAGTTATATTTTACTATAAATCTATTTCAATTGATACACATGTACTTGAATGAATAATACAAAAACTACAAAATGTTATAGAACAAATAATAATAAATAGGCAGTAAATAAGTATAAAAAAAAGGTAGATAAAATACCTATAAAAAAATTATTTATACAATAAAATGTAGGTACATAATAGAATATAAATAATAGATAAGTGATACCTAACATGCGAATGCGACTATTGGTCAATAAGTGGTAATTTCATGACTCAAATAACCTACCTACCTAGTCTACAAACAAGTGATATTATTTTTAAGTTGTCAAATGGCTTGCACAAATTACATTAAACTTAATCAGCAAGTATAAATATATTGTAATTAATGCCTTTTACCTACGAATCGTTTATTTTTTTGATTTATTAAATTTTTTGTGAAATTGTCACTTGCTTAACAAATAAAAATTTTAATTTAATTTTAAATTTGAGTTAATTAACCATAACCTTAAATATGGCAAACCTACAATAGTGTTTACAACGTATCATTAATGAGCTAAAATTTGTCACTGCAAGTATAATTTATGTATTATCAAATGTTAAAGCTTTTTAAAAAAAAATATAGCAATTGCAAATGAGCTTGCATATTCTGTAACTCCAACAGCAGAAGTTAAAATAAGACATATTTATAGGCAGCAAGATAATACGCCAGTCGTACCTCCTACATTATTTATAATTTTAAAGCATAAGACAATACAGACAAAATGCGCAAAACAATTGAAAGCGGACTCACATTGGTTGAGATTGTCCATTACACTTGACGTGATCCACATTTCTGAAACCAGAAAAGAATGACTTTTAAACAAACATTTATATGGTTTTAATGATAATTCCTATAATTTTTTTATTGCGACCACTCAAAAATTAAGTACAGTTTTTAAATATATATATAATGTGTTCTAATAGCTAGTACGTATTATAATGAACTATTTTACGACGAGTACACACTACACAAACACCATGGATTAGTGTAGGCGCTTCAACAAGTAATCATCTTATAGAGAACATAAAATTGACGGACAGTTCAAATTTTTGCTACAAAAAATGTTGAATTTTTGTTTTAAATTCGTGTTTATATTACTGGTCAGGTGGCACTGCTGGGAGCCTTCCTATTAATGTTATTATTTTACGTCAAATGTTCAACACACTTACTTATTATACCTTATTGTATATAGATTGTAAATATTCTTTTCAAAAAAAAAAAAAAAAAAAAATCGTGTTTATAAAATATTATATTGAAATAATTAAAACAAAAAATACGTGTTTTAAACTCACTTAGTCCCATCCATGTCTTAAGAAATTTCATTTACCATTTTTTTCAATATCAATCATTTGTGTGCACTAGACACTAATTAACTGTAATTAACTGTAGGTACCTATGCATAAATTAACGATGGAACACAATATATATGTGGCGAAATCGACGGAAGAACTGATACTGAATGAACAATATTTCTTTGTACAAACAATTGTAAATACGGTCTTGGTTATCTGTAATAAGTTTCTACAAACAAGACCAAGGACCTTTCGTTAAATAATTATATATACCTTTTGGCTATTAGGTTATATAGCCAAGTTATTCAATGATAATATTCAACTTATGTAGAAAAATATTTTCTTTTACTCGAGATTATAGATAATTAATTAAAATAAAAAACAATATAGCTAGTAAAAAAATGTATAACCAACAAAAAAACAAGTTGATTATAATAACGTAATTTGTAAAATAATTGCACCGAATTAAAAATATATTTTACTCGCCAACCTATTTTAATCTTACCGATGTGCGTGCTAGAACCGAAACTTACAATCAAGTCGATGTAAGGAAAATGAGGAACAATTTGAGTGATTACTGCGATTACTATTTTGTATCGTATTCAATTGAACAATTTTATTTTTGGCACGAATCGCTGTGATGTATTGTGACTTGTATATAAGTAAAAGTACCTACAGTGAATGGATAATGATTTAAAAGAATATTAAAGTTCAACTGACTGAACATTATTTTGGCAGCACAAGTAGGTATTTCTTAACTACCAATTAGATTTGCTGCAGGTTCCTATATTGAACCAAAATTCTGGGAAAATCATTAAAAAAAAATCTTCGAAATCGTGAAATATACAATATACAAATACAGACTTGATAATATTCCAGTCTTGTTCAGTATTCGAATACTTGTATTTAAATACTTTTTTTTTGTAATTCAAATACCTACTTTTCAAAAACTTTTTGACCATAATGTATTTTAAATTTTTAAATACTTAAAAAATACTTTTTATTTGTATTTTTATTCTAGAATACTAAATACTTTTATCATTCTAGTGATCTACTCCAAATTCCAATTACCAGTATTTTGGAATGGAACATTTTACATTTTGTTACTAAAATATTATTTTATTATGGTTCTAACTTCAGTGAATTTATAAATAAGGTTTCGCCAAAATACAAGCAGATAACAGAATTACTGAACACTGAAACCCCCATCGTCTCCTCACTCCCGTTACCGTGGCATACGAGATTTTCACCACATAAAAAGGAGAACTTTTGCTGTGCACTACTGCACTATCGTTTTTGTTTTTTCAATATCGGAACTTCAAAGGAAGTTATTAAAGTTTAAAAAGCACAAACAATAATGGACTTTAAAGCAATAAGATTTTTTTTTGTATGTGATATCAAAAAAAAAAATAATATTACACAGCTAAAGTTCTCCTTTTTATGTGGTGAAAATTTCGTTTCTTATTTATGACTGTAGCTTTCTCGATTCTTTATCAAACAAAACTGCAGTTTTTGCAATGTTGTATATTTGTAAAACGGTGACAGCACATTATAGGGTGTAGCGTCCTATTAATGCGGACGGAGTGGCCGATCGGACTACGGCGTCGGTTGTAACTCGCACCGTCGCCGGTTCGAATCTCGGCCATGGGCGGCAACGCTCTCTGGGCAGGCAACTGTCTAGTCGGAGAGACCACCAACCCCCAACCGAGCACGGCAGAAACCTACGGTTGCCCAAATAGAAATTCTGCCAAATAAGCTTCCAAATTTAGGCCTTCGGGCCTACCCCCTATATACCATAGTGCCATACAAAAACAAAACGGGTGGTAGTAGTTAATAACTTTAACATAAGATTAATGTTATTGAAATTAAAAATAAGTATTTGTTTAAGTATCTTGAATATTTTTAAAAGGTATTTGTGTTTTTGTTTAAACACTTTTAAAAGATAGTATTCTGAATATATTTGAAAAGTATTCTTAACAAGACCGTAATATTCATTAGTATTAATAAATATTATATGAATTACATAGGTAGTACACTAGGACCTTTAATATATATACCTACGCATGCTATATTGTACTATGTTTGACATTCTTCACGAATGCGCATGGTTAGAACACTGGACGCACATTGTAATAATTGTATGTATCCTCTTTGATTATCCCGTTGGATGTAAAAAAAACAAAAAAAAAAAAAAAACCAGAAGAAAAAATATCCATAATTGCACATTACAAGTCACAAGGAATTCACCATCAAATATTCAAATACCTGTATTATATATGTTATTATTAACTACGTATAATATTAGGTACCTTAAGGCTTACATAATAAGTAACAAACGCCTCTTTTATAATGATTATAAACAAAATATTTATTCTTGTATATTATGTATAGATTCCTTAGATACTCTAGTTTTTCCTTTTTTCCTGGGTTGAATTATTTAAATACTTATACATAATTATAACGATGGTGTTCAACTTATTTTATATTATAGGTATAGGATGATTAACCAAGCACGATCAACCCCATTTTATCATTTATATATTATGCATTTAGGAAAGTTCTATTTTTTTTCAAATTAAAATTCTATCCTAGAGACTATTTTTTAAATACTTAGATTTTTTTATGACATTTAAAGATGCATACTTGTTTTTTTTAAATGAGAACATTTCTTTTTACAATGAAATGTTAAGCAGATGTAATTTTTTTTATTGGAAATGTACGTTAATCGAAATGCAATTGAGTAGTTTCTGAGTTTATACAATGTTAATTTACTAATAATAATATTCAATGAAAATATGGAGGCTATTATAATTTGAAAATTATAGTCATCAATATTAATCTATTAGCATTTTATTATTTATAAACATTATCCTATGAATATAATTATTTTATGTGTGTATAAGTACCAGACTAAAAAGTAAAATGTATCCGGTAGGTAAATCTAGTTATATTTTATGCATAGCTATATATAGCCATTAGCCCCCATTAAATAAGCTTATAAACCTATTACTGTGGACTATTATCCTGGATACATAAACATTAACACTCGTTTGAATTTGAATTTTGATGCATACAATAAATGTTAATGTATCCAAAAAAAATTAACCATGTACTCAACAATTTACAACAGAGGAAGGAGTGTTATTGTATAGCCCCACAATAATCCTTAAAAGTTAAAAGTATAAACAATCTATGTAAATGAAAATATGTTTTTTAACTTTTTCTGTTATACTTGTAATGTTACCCACTAAAAAATTAAATAAATGTGAATTAAAATTCATGGATGATGCCATGATTAAAGGATAAATTGAGGGTGAGCATGCTTGGCAAATCACCCTGTATAAACAATCTAACTGTAGCGGCCACGGTAATGATTGAAAGTGACATGCACACCGTAACACGACGTAAGTAGGTATGTAAAATAATATAAACTCGTGATTGATCGCATAAATACATTATTTTAATTTTTTTTATGTTCTTTAATCGTTGTTGTTGTGTGACTTGTCGGCAAACCTATAATCATTACCCGCGATTGCTCGTTGTCTTCAGTTTAATATAAACAATATGCACTTATTAAGTATAATATTAACTAATAAGCAGTAAATGCCTATAGGCTATATTGCTATAATATCCGTTTACCTTAAATTATAGTATCGTCTGCCGACGATTAGGCAAGAAAAAACAAAATACTTACGTAACACATAATTATTGTAGCCCTATTTTCGTTTGTTATAAGATATTATACAATACAGATCCTACTATAGTTACTACCTATATACAGTACCTACAATCTACATACCTACTATACGCATATTATGATATTTTTACAGATATTGCGTACCACTATCTAAGCGATAAAGATGACATTTTTTTTTATGAAAACCTCTGGAAATGCAAGTTGCATCTTCCACTTGCATTATTATATTTTATTAGACACTGCAGACCCCTATATATGATATAATAAGTATAGATAAGTCCTAAGTATATGTAAATATTACATACAAAGATAATCACAAGACTCGACTCGTTTTAAACAAAGGTAGTTTTTTGAGTCCCGAGGCTCGGTTAATCGGTCAACGGAGACTTTTTGTCTCTAGGCTCAACAAAGCACAAAAACTCGTGCCATCACTACAGCGACTCGCTTGAAGATAACACGCACGGCACGATATACCTATTATATTAAACAGTACCTATAATAATAGTATGATATTATAATATGTTAAGTATATTATTATGTTACATTAAACCTGACAGTCGACAAAATGAAAAGCCGTTTATTTATATAAGCCCTATACAATTATATTTCGTGAAACGTTAAAGGAATACAACTATAGAAGAAAACTTTTCACCCACATTATTGTAAAATAAATATTATCAATAATAACTCTTTGTTGTGTTTGAAAACTAGTCATCAAGTATTCAAGTTAAAGTTATATTGCTATAATAAGTAATAACACTCTACAATAAAATATATTAGATTCTATGCAGTTATCAGTTGAG